GCATCAAGCTGTTTTCCCATGTAAGCTGTGGCCTGTGGGTGCCACAGGGGTGTGGTAAGGTGCGAGGGCAAGTTGGATGATCTCTCTTCAGATGTGGCACATGCTGCGGAAAGAGTGTGAGAACCGTGGTGTTAGTGGGGATCCTAAATTCTTGTCCACTGTCACAGCCGTCTCTCGTAGAGCGGGGGAGCTTCCAGCTAGCATCCCACTTTCATTAGTTGGGGAGCAGAGCGGCCGTACGGGGTTAAAGCAAAAGACACTTCGAGAGGGCAGCCTTCTCCATAGTGTGTACTTCAGCCTGATAGTTTGGCTTGTATGGTTTCTTAGCTACCTGACTGACCTGTTAGTGGAGCTGATCTTTTAGCTTTCAGGTTAGAGCTTGTGCTTTTGGAGCCTAAGCATGAGAGTTCAAATCCTCCGCTTCCTCCCAGTGTAGCTGATGGGGCATGTCTGCCTCAAATAGCCGAGCCCGACAAGAGGAGTTTAAAGACGCTTCGTGCACAAGAATAAATACCATTGCGTTGTGTAAAAAGCAACATTTTCTTTTTAATCAAACAACATGCTGTAATCAAGTCCCGTTTAAGGCAAATATTTTCTTTGTCTTTTCATCGAATTCATACATTCCAAGGCCAGAAGGGACCATTGTGATAATCTAGTATAACACCAGGCCATGCCGGGGAGAGAGCCATTACATTCCCAAATATATGTCGCAAGATGCATTCTGGCAACTTCACAGATATTCAGGGACTAGCAGAATCCTCAGCACCGAGGCGTTTTCACGGAGATTTTGATGGATGAAATGCAAGACAATTAAGCTGCATCTCTTCACTGCTAGTTTGCTGTTTGTAGCTAATTGAATTGCATCACTGGTCGCTGAAGTGATCTGGGGTTGACTGGAATATAGCCTGCCTTGGTGAGAACAGAAACCAAGTGTAGATAATACAACTGACCACTGGGTGGCTTCCATGTCTGCGAGATAAACCCAGCTCTGAATGCTGGCATCGTCTTTTTTGCAAATCTGTGGTGGGACAGATTGTTGGTCGTTACTTATAACGTGCTATCGCACCCCCAACCCCGCTACAGACTTTGAAGCACCCCTCCCTCTATAGGGAATGGTCATGTATCAAATGACCCAAACAGAAGAGACTTGGAAAAACAGGGGAAATCAAATAGTCATCTCAGGGATTTGGCTTCCCAGACATGGCCCTGCCAGTGAGAAAGCCTTGCCCCCTGCCTGACAATCACAGCCTCACCGATTTCAGTTGTCTTGGTGGGGCATAGAGTGAAATGTGGGCCTGCATCTACCATGGCCCTAGACTAAAAGGCTTGATATTGTGGTAAGGGGACCTCGAAGTGTGTCCGATGGCTCTCTGCCAGCTAGTGCTGTGTGCAGATTATAGGCACCACTGATTCCCAGGCAGACAGCTGTGAGCTGCAAATGCAGCAGCTACTGGATCATCTTCAGGGGATGCCCAAGAAGGAGCAAATGGCAAAAATCTAGCCGGGCATGGTCCACCTTTGAGAGGAAAGTCTGTCTGGGCATTGAGAGAGTTGGCCTTGCTGAGCTCCATCCCAACATTATCTGTTAGCCTCTTAGTTTTGAGTTTAGCGATTCCTCCTGGTCCTGCGTATTGTAGGTAGACTTTTATACTGGGCTAAATATGCAAGAAAGGGGCGACCCAAAGAACCATGTATTTTTTGCAGCATGTTTCTCTTTGCCCTTTGCTGGAACTGCATTTATTTGTGTTTACAAATTAACTTTCTCCTTCCTCTCTCTCCACCTGCTGGATCCATCAGTGAAGTCACAATCCTCCGCTTATGACGTCACACACAATCCCCATGAAGTGTCTCCACTGGGGGACCAGCAAGGGGAAACAATCCTTTGTTAATGAGGAGAGTGACAAGGAACCTTGTTAGAAACACACAGAGAAAATGTTAGGTGAGCGTTATCGTTAGGGGAAAAGACTGTCCTTTCCAGAGACTGATGTTCCTGGTTCATCTCTGGAACAAGTACAGCCCAGGCAGGCAGCAATGCAATCTCTCCACACTGAATCCACCCACTTGCCTCACCCCAGAGCTGGATGGTCCACATCTGGGGATGACAGGACAGTTCCTTCATTTGCCAGCCATGGCGCCGGTTGCGCTGGTGGTTTCTGTGATGTGGATACCGTTCCACTAAGAACAAGCCTGCTGCACCAACTCAGTTCACAGCGGCCACTTAATAGGCAACGGACAGTTCAGGGAGGGGAAGGGGGGAATGAGACCCCACCAAGGCACCTTTTAAAATCTCTTGCATGTTTTCTTCACTTGGCAGGAGTCCCTCTCCCAACCCCATCTGGGCTGGCTGCATAGTTTACTAGCACCTCGATTCCACTCTGTGCTTTCGGTTAGGGCCCTTCACACCTGTTTTTTTATTTGCTGTACTCTAGTTGCAAGAGCCGTGAGCCAGGCTGCAGCTTGTAGCTGGTTTATTGGGTGGTAGTTCAAATGCAAACCAATGTGATGGCCCCATGCTGGGCCAGACTAGCCTTTGAGTATCAGGGGGAGCCTGTGAATATTGGGGATGGGGCACTGGCCTTTCAGAGTGAGGGTGGAAATACCAGGGCTGGCTCTGCTCTCATGTCCCTCATTTCATGCTGGCGTAACACCACAGCTTTCAGTGAGTTGCTCCTGGCCTTATGCTGGGGTGAGTGAGGTCAGAAGCAGACCCCTGTTGTATCTGGAAATTAGAGACAGGGAAGGGGTTGCTATAAAATTCCCGGAGCCAAGTCTCACCTCTGCACCCAGCCAGCTGTCTGCTTCTCCTCTAAGCATTGCTTGGGTGTTAGCTTGGTGGAGCTTATCCCTGCCTCAGCTGCTCTGGGGGTATTTTCCCCTTCAGCATCCCCTGGAGTGGGAAGGGGTGTGCCAGGAATATGTTTTATCTGTATCTCTCAGCAGGCCATGGCTATGGGGCTGTCTAGTGAATAGAGTGCTGGTCTGGGGCTGGAGAGATCTGGGTTCTATTCCTGGCTCTGCTGTTGACCAACCTTGCCCAAATCATTTAAATGCTCTGTGCCTCAGTTTCCCCACCTGTAAAATGGGGGTCATGATATTGACCTCCGTAGTAAAGTTCTCTGAGCTCTACTGATGAAATGTGCTGTGTACGAGCTGCATGCTGGTGGTGGTATTACTCTTCCTGGTGAGGAAGGCTCTTTTGCTGCATGATTCAGTTATATTGGGGTGATGTTAGCTGAATTAGTTCCAGATGACAACAATGTGAGAGGAGAATCCGTCTCATTGCACCCACACATCCTGCAGCCCCTGGAATAGTTTGAAACTCATCCTGGTTTGCTGGGCAAATTTTCATTTGTCAGGTGAGCTCTCTGGTTAGTGGATGGTTAACCCGGGCTGGTTAGTGGATGACTGCAGACATGAGCTCCTTCTTTGTTCCTGGGACCAAACCTGCAAAAGTGCTCACATGCAAATCAGCTCTTCTGTGTGGGTGTGCAAGGAATTTCCACACCTTTTGATCTGCATTTGCACTTTTGGGGCTCTGCCCTGATGATGAAGGGAATAGATAGTTATAAATCTTGGGAAACATAATAAAGCCCTTGCATTTGCTGGATGAGGGTCGAGGTGAGCTGTCAGCACGGCATGTGGGGGATTAGCGAGGCATCTCCCATCACAAAACATTGTAAGTGCATCCAGCTGTGGACAGGCATCAGCGTGAGAGGGTTATGTGCTTTGCTGTCAGAGAGGGGCCCGTATCAGCCCCCTCGATCTAAATACCCCAAAAGTTGAAATCCTGATCCAAATTTGGCAATTTATAGTGCACTTAACGGAAACCCTGCCCTCAGGCTGCCCAGCCTGGAGAGTGTTTGAAATTCAGATCCCAAGCTTGTGGCTCTAGCCCATCTCTCAGGTGAACGTGCTTCAAGAAGGATTTTTTCGACTCCGCTGTGTTTTAAAACCCTGGGGGAGCTGATGGCGCTCCCCATGCTAAGCCCTTCTAGGCAGCAGTGGAATTTTATTCCCCCCACCTTCTAACCCTCTTGAATGCTTAAAATTCTATGTTTTATTTTATTAAGTGTGTATAAAAATCCATCTCCGCAGCCCCTGATACTGCCAGGTGTTTTGTTTTATGTGATCAGTGCTGGGTAACCTCAGCAGCGTAAAGCGATCCAGACTTATCGGGCTGTTGGTACCAATCACTGAGAAGCCTGGCTTTGCAAGGAAGAGAGCTTTTGACGAACATGTCATCTTTTATTTAGCTCCCCCACCCCCGCCTCCCCTGCAGTGAACCCCTGGCTCTTTTCAGGCCTGTTTAATTAGTAACCACTGAGCACAGGATGAGACATGTTCCCGCTCTCCTAGCAAGTGCCAGGTAGTTTGGCCGGGGAGCAGGGGATGTGTGTTGTACTGCGGAGGGGAGAGGGAAGCTAGCAAGGGAAGGAGCTAAGGGCAGCTCAGAAGCAATGATCACATGTTCAGTGAGAGGATGAATCCTGGAAAGGGCATCTCTCTCTGTCTCTGCCTGCTCCCTCTCCCGCCCTCTCATGCTGCACTCGTGCTGAGGTAATTGTACAGAATCCAGCCGCCTGCAAAGCGAAAGAGAATTCAGTTGCTACTGTGAGCAGCCGAAGGGCTCCTGAATGAGCGAGCGCTGAGGACGAGGGGGCGGCTGGGGCAGCATGGAGTAGGTTCCGGCGTCTGGATTGTTTTCTGCAGCTCCTCTGCAGACTGTGCAGGTTAAACTGAGCCAGCGGTGCCCTTTGCCTGCAGTGCTGTGTTGCGGATCTGGGAGCTCTGCTGCTTTTAGCCTTTTCTTTCCCCTGGCACCTTGGTGGGGGGTAGCGGAGGAGGGGGGGGGTTGGAGTGGGGGTTGAGTTTAGCAGCAGTTTAAAAAAACTGAACAAAAGGTTTTGAGCAGGGAGAAAAATGAACCCTGGGACTGAAATTCTGATCGGCGAGAGAAATAACTTCTCTTCCTGTCCCCTCCCCCCCCCTCTTCTTTGCAGAAAAAAGCAGAAGCGGCCCACAGGATCCTGGAAGGATTGGGCCCCCAAGTGGAACTGGTAAGTCGTGTCTCACAGTGCGGGGATTTGGAGGGCAGCCAACTTCGTAGAGGTCTTGGAGACCGGCGCACCATCCTGTGTGTATGTGTAAGCCATAAGAAGGAAGTGTTCTGCTGGCCAGAACATGTCACTGGTGTGCACCAAAGGAGGAAGCAAAGCAGATAGGATGAATAATCTCTCTCTCACACACACACACTCACACCCCACCCCAGGTAGCTGTGTTCTGGGAGCCTTAGCCCGTTTTCCCTGCTTCTACCTCAGACGAAGGCAGAACGGCGGGAGGGACTTACCCCAAACTTCATTGGTGCCTGATGCTGCCGTTGTGAATCCGTGATGCTAATGTTGTCCTCCACCACGTTCCTGGTCCTATGCGTTCAGCACCTCAGTGGCTGGTGAACATCAGGATGCCGTGTGTGAACGATCTCATTGTGGGTCCCCCTCCCCAGCACAGTTATAATAGGATCGCATGGGGGAGGGGGGCAGGAGAGGTGTCAGAGGAGTATGTTCCAGAAGTGCTAGTTCTAGATTGGAGTGACCTGTCAGCAGTAATTATGTGAAGTTGTAAGAGTCCAGCTCCAGTCTCTCTCAGCTGCATGTCGTACTTGTGGGAGCAGTGAAAATTCCATCAGCGTTATCCATGGTTGCTGTCAAATTCAGCTGTCCCCTCCCATCTACCCAACACACCCTGCTCTGTCTCCAGCAGTGCAAGTGACTATATGATTCCTGAGCTGTAGGTGAAAACAGCTCCTTGCGGGGCACTGTGTTGGGGCTTCCCAGGAGAACTCCCTCTACACTATACAAAGGGAGCAGCTGGATGTGGGGAGGATTGGGTCCTGTATCACGCTGAGCACCTTTAGCAAGATGCTGAGACCCCTTAGCACCCACTGACTGCAGCCTTGCACAGACCGGTACTTTTAGGTAAAGTGTGTGTGTTGGAATCTGCCAGATGACTAGCCCTTGGGAAGATGGGGGCGGCAGGGAGCTGTCCTTGCCAGTTTTAATTCAGAAGTGTTTGGGATAGCATGGCATTAATCTCGTGTGTGTGTGTGTGTGTGTGTGTGTAAAATATATATTAGCTTTCTTGTGACACTTCCTGTGTGTACACACACACAGGAGGTGTCACAAGGAAGTTAATGATCCCCCGGTTCACATCTCAGTTAGGGAGATGGTGCATAATTGTGTCTGCTTGTAGTCCCCAAGGAGTTAATCCCGTCAGAGTCTCTCTCTGCTTCTCAGGTTGGCTGTGTCGGGGATTGGTGCTGGTACTTTAAATGTGGTGTGTTTAAATAATAAATAAATGGTACCTGGTGGTGGTTACTGAGGCTAAGCCTGTCTCTCTTTCCCAGCCTAATCACTGTCCGTTCCAGCCCCACTTCTGAGGGGGGCATGGAAACCTGGCCTGTACGCACATGCTCCAGAACGGGGCTTACGTTCTTTTCTCATCCCCCACTCCCTGCCATGTTGTGATTAGCACAACAGGACCCCAGCCATGACAAGGGCCCTCGAGAAGCTACTGGGACTCAAGAAATAATGTTCATACGCAGCTACTCTTCTGTATCAGAAAGGAAATTACCTCAGGAAGGAGGACAGAGCTTTCCATGCCTGCCTCGCTTGGTATTCCTCCTCTTTAGAAGGTCTGGTGATATAGGCACATACAACAGTCCTAGGCGACCCTCAAGCCTGAGAGTTTCTTGTGCCGCTCTGGGTCCCTTGGAGCCAGTTGCATGAGAAAGGGCTGCAGAATTTTCCTGAGTTCACTTGAAATACAGCTGTGAGAATTGCTCCTGGCTTCGCTGTGGGCATGGCGGTCTCACTAATATTTGTTCAAGAGTGCTCTGGTTACTATAGTCAAACAGAGGTGGTGACAGATAAACGTCTGCTTGATCAGGAGGCAGCTTGCCAGGTGCTGATTGCTCAAAGCAAGAGGTCACGGAGGAAATTGGTTAGTCAAAACTGAGAGAGGCAGAGGTCATACAAAACCACGGATTGCAATCTGGGGCTGAGGGGAACATCCTGATAGCGTTAAGGTGTTAATGGCAGGGTTGAATCCAGAGCTCCACCTCCTCAAGGTAGCGATTGTTTTTGTTTCCAATCCTGGTGGGCAGACAGATTGGCAGTTTGAACATTGCAGTGCATTGGAGCTCTCATTTGACTTCATTTTCACTATAGCCAAGTCCCCCATAACAAATGTAACTGTCTTCTCGTTTTTCCGAGTGGACGTTTTCCAGAAGGAATAGGCTGTGCTCATCTTACCTTAGGGAAATGCTGATTTGGATCCGTCACCCTTGCTTCTCTGCCCAATTTGGTATTTACAAAATCTCTTTCTGTGGGCTGTTTATGGCCGTAAGGAACGACCGAGTTTGCTCAACCAGTGCACAGTTAATTCTGAAGCATTTTACTGTTGGTGATCACCGATGAGATTATTGTATTTCTTATGGATGGGGGATGTCTCTCTTTCTTTGACTGTGGGGACAGATTTAGGATGATGTGGATATTGGGCAGATGAAAGTTTCTAGCCTATGAGCATATAATAAGTGATGTGTTGAACTTGATGTTGCGGTTTTAGAGTTCCATATTTCTTAATGTTTGGGTTTCTTTTCAAGTGCTGTGTGGAATGGCATGTCATTATCTCAAAGCACCCTAAACTGTTAGTTAACAAAAAATTTTGTGGATACAGTGGTGTTGTAGCTGTGTTGGTCGCAGGATACTAGAGAGACAAGTTGGGTGAGGTAATAAGATATTCGATAGTGTCTCTCAAATTTTCCTTGTGGCAGTATAAGAAAAAGCAGCAGAAGTTGGTGACATTACTTAAACTGATGTATTTGCAAGGCTCTGTGTGCACAAGAATATATCATAACCCATAAGCAGCCGAACCACCATTACTCCCTCCCCTTCCACCAGGAACTGGTGTTTACATGACTCATCAAACCCCTGTCGGTTCAATCTCAGTTTACCCAATCACACTGAAGAAAGGCATGTTCATTTATCAATATGTTTTCTCACCCTTCGTTCCAGTCCCCATACAGGAGCTCACGGCAGAAGTGCGCTGCAAAGTCGCTCCAGCCTTCCTGCAAAGAGATCCCCTCCAGTTCTATTGTTGATCAGGAGGGACATGCGGATGTGATGCAATAGAGTCTCCACTTGGGTTTTTCTCTTCCCAGCGCAGGCATTGATTCTGAGGATGGACTTACCCTCTCGAAGTTACCTGGATTTAGTAGGACAGATGCCTGTTTCCCCTGCAGCTTTCCAAACTTGAATTAGTCAGCCGGCTCTTTGCCTGCACTTCAGCGAGCAGATTTGGGTGGGTTAGTGTTAGAAATGTGCACTGGGGAAGGGAAGCTGCTGTTAACCTGGCTCCTGACTGGGTCATACCTGTCTTGTCTTGTAAGCCATTGCATTGCCAATGGAGGTTGCTACAGCATCCTTGTAGCACATACATTGCCTGAGATACAGTTGTAGTTTGTTGCACTTCTGCATCATGACGCAGACCACCAGTACTGCCCCCAGAATTTCATCAGCCATTTTGTCACCCTATCATCCAGTTTATTTAGATCCCTTTGTAACTCTTCACAGTCTGCTTTGGGCTTACCTATCTTGAGTAATTTTGTATCATCTGCAAACGTTGCCAGCTCACTGTTCACCCCCTTTTCCAGATCATGTTTGAATATTTTGAACAGCACAGGTTCCATTTCAGATCTTTTGGGGACCCCACTATTTACCTCTCTCCATTGTGAAAACTGATAATTTATTGCTGCCTTTTATTTCCTATCCTTTAGCCAGTTAATGATCCATAAGAGAACCTTCTCTGTTATCCCATGACAGCTTACTTTGAATAAGAGACTCCTTTCAAAGGCTTTCTGACAGTCCAAGTACACTATATTGACTGGGTCACCCTGGCCCACATGTCTGTTGACACCCTCAAAGAATTCTAATAGATTGGTGAGGTATGATTTCCCTTTACAAATGTGTGATTTGTCCTCCAACATATTGTGTTTATCTAAGTGTCTGATAATTTTGTTCTTTATTATAGTTTTAAGCAATTTGACTGATACTGCCTGTAATTGCCAAGTTCGCCTCTGGAGCCTTTTAAAAAAAAAAAGGCATTATGTTAGCTATTCTTAAATCGTCCTCTGTACCAGATGACTTGAACGATAGGTTACGTACCACAGCTAATTCTGCAGTTTCACATTTGAGTTCCTTCAGAACTCTTGGGGGAATACTATCTGGTCCCGGTGACTTATTACCGTTCAATTTTTCTATTTGTTCCAAAACCACCTCTAATGACACCTCAATCTGGGACAATTCCTCAGATTAGTTACCTAAAAAGAAAGGCCCACATCTCCCCCACATTCTCTGCCGTGAAGACCAATGCAAAGAATTCATTTAGCTTCTCCACAACGGCCTTGTCTTCCTTGAGTGCTCCTCTAGCCCTCAACCATCGAGCGGCCACGTTCCTGCTTCTGATGTACTTAAATTTTTTTTTGGTCTTAGTTTTTGTGTTTTTTTGCTAGTTGTTCTTGAATTCTCTCTTGGCTTACCTTATTATACGTTTACACTTAACTTGCCAGAGTTTATGCTCCTTTCTATTTTCCTCACTGGGATTTGATTTCCAGTTTTTAAAGGATGCCGCTTTGCTTCTGAACTGTCTTGTATTCTCCTGTTTAGCTATGGTGGGTTTTTTATGGTTGTCTTACTGTTTTGTTTTTTTTTATTGGGCGTATATGTTTAGTACAGGGGCTGGATCTTTGAAAAACAAGCTTCTAGGACAGACTGTAGTAGTATCCTACTATAGACTGAAAATGTCCATTGAATGGGTGTGGCAGGGTCTTAGATGCTGAAAAAATCGTTGAGAGAGAGAGAGACGCTGAGCCAGTAGAAAAGCCATTAGCCCAAGCCTTTCAAAGGTTGTGGGATGGGGAATCTGATAAACACAGGCCAAACCAGTCTTTTATCTCTTTGTCATGGCTCTTTTCATTAGTTTAAAGTGAAACAAAATTACATTCAACCCTCAGTTTAACCTCCATTACCATGGAGAGTGAACATGGCTGGTTTGTATTTAACCATGTTCAGAATATAGACTTCAACCATAAGCCATCCATCATGCGCACTCCTGGCTGTTTGACCACGCCTTGCCACAGATGTTAAATCGCTCGCAGATGGTTTAGTGAAACTTTATGGATATATTGCCTGCACAGTTGGATGGCGTTTCTGTGGTTAGACAGAGATTGTGTTCATCAGTTGCTGTTTGCGGCTGGGCAGTGGTTGGCTTTATTAACACAGCGTGGGGTGTGCTCACAGACCCTTATCTTTAGAATTAGGCCAGTGACTAGACATGTTGATTTGGTTATGATCCTGAATTCATGGTAGTCTCTTTTGGTACTCGGGCTGCGTCCTGGTGCCATTCTCCAGCAATCTCTGGTGCACTTGTGGCTCCCTGGCTGAGATCCCCGATCCCCCCAAACCCCACCCCCCCAGTCAAAGCCAGCAAGCGACTGCTGGGGTGTGGTATGACCAAACCTTTGTGATAAATGTATTTCATGCCCCTAAGCCAGGGCTTTCATCATCTCAGAAAGATTTACCCATGTCCCTGATCTGGGAAAGGCCGACGTGTACTCATGCTTTACTCACTAGTGCACAGTTAATCTAGGTTATGCCTCCGGCATCACCATGAATAGCCATGGTGCCACTTCGGTGACTCCCCGTCCATGGATGACAGGTGGCAATGCTTGACATGACCATTAATCCCGGAGGCATAGGATTTAGTGACTGACTACATGCCACCCTGCAAGAGCGCCTTCCCTCCCAGAATCTCCAAGCACTTTATACACACAAATGGATGAAGGGGTCAGGTCACCCTCCGCAGGAGGTGGCATGTCCTCATCCCACTGATGGAGAAACCGAGGCACAGCAGTTAAGCGACTTGCCCAAGGTTGCAGTGTGGGTGAGAGAGAGCCAGGAATAGGACACAGATCTCCTGACTCACCACTGCGTGTTCTAATCACTAGGCAGTGCAAGGACGGGTGGCCCAGTGGGTAGGGCTCTAGCTCGGGACTTGACATCTGGGTTCGGTTCCCTTTTCTGGTACAGATTTCCTGTGTGACCCTGGACTGAGTCACTTCGTGTCTGTGTGCATCAGTTCCCCATTGGTAACACGGGGAGAACAGCACTGCCCTGCTTCCCACGGGTGTTGTGAGGATAAGTACTTTAAAGATTGATGTGCTCCGATCCAGTGGTGATAACCCCGAGACAGACCAAATCCCAATGCAGTTGGAACCCGAGGGCTCTGTCTTTCTTCTGAGTGGCACCAGCATCTGACCCTCCCTGTGGCTGGCTCCCTTGGAGGCTAAGTCGGCTTTCCTTGAGTAGACATAACAATTTGCAGCACACACTGTTTTTCCCCCACCCCCTTCTCCTATCCTCCCCCGTGTCATATGTTCCAAGGTGCACTGCATTTTCGGTAAGTGAATAACACTCAGCTCCCCCCACCTCCCTGTGCTGTGCTGTATGGTGTTTATATGGATTACAGAGCAAATTGCTTGTTCTTAGCCAGCTCAGCTGCGTGCTGCCTGCCTCCCACGGGCTGATCTTGGATGCCCGCTGACTCAAGCTGCGTTGCTGTGTGTTTGGGAAGAAGCAGCACCTCCTGCATTAAAGGAGAGGAACAGAATGGGGCAGGGGGGCAGTGAGAGATGGCACCGAGCCCAGAGCATTAGAGCAGAATGGACTACGCTGGCGTATCTCTCGAGGAGCTGAAAGTCCACGCTGATACAGTAGCGTTTCTGACAGGTTGAAGTTTCTAAATGTCAGACTGTACATTTATGCCTTCGTTTTTCTTGTTTATTTCAGCCATTATACAACCAGCCTTCAGACACCAGGCAGTACCATGAAAATATTAAAATGTAAGTATGTGGCAATAAAGTCTATTTGAAATGTCAGGTTATGCATTAGGCTGGAGCAGAAGAGATGCTCGCCTGCCTCCAGATCCCATTTCCCGTTAAGGCTGAAAAGAAATAGCGTGTACCCTTCTAGCGATACTGTGTTGCTGCCATTGGTACCCAGAGCATCCAAATGTCTGAAAAAGTACATCAGTCAGGAAGAGCAGAGTTTGTGGGATGGTAAAGGTACCGTTCGATTTGTGTGGCGAGGAGTGGGGTGGGGGGGAAACTCGGCTGTCTTCGTGGGGAGGGAGTTTTAAATGAGTTGGTTAAGGAGGATGGCATGGTGCATTTTATATACGGGAGAATGTATTTTATAAAAGGATGAATGGGGGCAGAAGTTGGAGAGCCCAGGTGGGGTCAGTGGCTGCTCGGAACCCTTTGGCCAGCTGAGGAAAGCTGCGCTAGGAGGAAACGGATCCTCTGCAAGCAAGATTTGGAAACCGTGCTCTGCTGCTTAGCCACTGCAAAGGGGGAGAGCGAATGTGTAATGCTAGTCCCTACGTTCACCCTGCTTCCCTCAGGTGTGTAATACGACCCAGGAAAGGACTGGGAAGAGCTTTGGCTCAAATTTACAAAAGTAAGAGATCAGCTCAGATCCTCTTGAATTGATGGCCGGGTTACACCCTTGGACGAGCAAGTGTGGCTGAAACTTGACAGAAACTTGGGAAAAGGAGGAAGTATCTGTGCTGAGCACCGTGTCAGAGTAGTATCTGTAGCTTTTCAAGAGCCTGCACTCCTTAATCACCTTTCTAACTTCCCTGTGCTGTTGAGTCTGACTGTGCTGATTCTTCTTTGAGCTCCCTTGTCTGATTGACAGCCTCAAGTCCATGTATATTTCAGAATGAAGTGTAAGCGCAGTTTTGTTTGACACGTGCTGAGGTATGAAACTTCATAAACTGTCCGCTTTTTTTAATGTGTTTTTGGGAAGGATAGATTGAAGGGAAAAGTTGGACATGACTTTAAAGTGCCTCTTCTGTCAATGAGGCTGTAATGAACGTTTCATAGCAACAGATTGTTACAAAGATATTTACCAAGTTTTAATAATCCTGTAGTCAATTACTTGTCGTTTAAACCTCAATAAATGATTTGATAAACAATTGATGTTTAGTGACTACAGTGAGTTACCGCAGATAGATTGAATATAACATAAACTTCTAGATTTATTATCAATTGAAATTAAAAAGGTTCCCATGTGGCCTAACAGTTCTTGTCTGGGTTGATTCTGTACAGATGATTACTTTCAAATCACCCGGTTGTGGCTACATGGGATACACCTGTTCTAGTTCCGAGCATACCAGCCATTTCCTAATATTCTGTGGCTTTCAGTGGAATGTTAAGAGACGCTAGGCGAGTTGAAGTGAAGGAGTTAACATCGAGCTTCTTTCTTATTACAGGATTCAGGATGTAATTAAATGTGTTATGAACTGACCTGATTTCTAGGCATTTAAGTGGTGTTCATCTCTGTGGTATCCATAAAGGGAAAGGATTGTCCAGTGGGGAGAATGGTAGTCTGGGAATCAGGAGACCCAGGTTCAAGTCCCTTTTCCATCACAGATTTCCTGCATGACCTTCGGCAACTCACTTAAGGTAAAATGTCCAGAAGCACCTAAGTGATTTAGGATCTGAGGCCCCATTGAGTTTTTGCCTTTCTGTGCCTCAGCTCTCCATCTGTGAAATGGGGATGATAGCACTGCCCTGCCTCACATGGGTGCTGTGAGGATCAATACATTAAATTCTGTGTGGCGCTCAGACTCTGTGGGAATGGGGCCATACAAGTGCCCTAGACAAAGAGTATCAACATGCCTCAGAGGCATTAACAAATGAAGCACCCCCCTGGGATAGAGAAATAATATCCCTATTTCTCAGGTGGGGAAATTGAGGCACGGAAATTAAGTGCCTGAGGTCAGATCAGAAGTCGGTGGTAACTCAGGGCCAGAACTCACGTTTCTTAACCAAAAAGCTATCCTTCCTCTCCTTGTTTTTAAGTGTTACTCTGGATTTCTTTACTTAGTTTAGCCTCTTCTCCAATGATTGAGAAGTCTCGGCTGCCTTCAGCAGCTTCCAGAAACATGGATTATCTTTAAATCTCAGATTTTGTACAAACATAGTTAATTTTTCAAGTTCACGTTTGCTTACCCTCACCTCTTGCCTAAATATCTTCACTTCTGACTTTTGCACCCAAAGAGTTCATTTCCAGGATGATGGATCCATGCATATTTTGTCAATTACAGCCCATTCTTATTGGCCAAGAGCATCCCTGCTGATTAAGTGGGATCAGAAAACGTGTGGCTTTGATAACCTGTTTACCTCTGTTGATCATCACTCAAGCTTGGCAAGCATTGCCAGAACCCTTCTACAAGTACTCACTTGGATTTTTAGGTGACTGTGCTGTGGCTTGTTCTCTAGTCGATTCACGTTAAGCAAAGGTTCTGGCCACTGGGTTTAATGAGCAGGGGGATTTGCAAAGGAAACTCTTTTGCCATGAGTGAACACAAATGTTAAAGCCACAGGTACTGATACTCAAAGTGAAGGTTTTTTTTTTTTTTACCAACATCCAGTTGGGGAACAGGAAGAATGCTGTGGGATATACCTGACCAGTGACTATGGATGGGCAGCTGGAATTTTGAATTGTTTGCCCCCAGCACACTGTACTCAACTGGGGAGTTATTAAATAAAAAAATTAAAATGTAAGGAAATGGATGCATGCTCATGGATGTTCCAGGGGCAGGAAAAGAGGCTGTATTTCTCAGATGAATTACACATTGGGAATTATTTACGTGGCTGTAATTCCTGTTCATAATTTTCCTCTGGCGTTCAGGTATTGGGAAGTACAAAGCAGCAGAAGGAGAATAAGATGCTAGGGAGGTATCCAGCCCAGGAAGGATGCTGCTACCTGGGGGTCTGTATTCTCTGAAAGTTCACCTAGGGCTATATAGCTTAGCAGAGATCCATTCTGCAATGGGATGTTGCTGCCTATTTTGGGAATGAAGTATTAAGCTGCCATCCAGCAATGAGCTCCTTGCAGACAGATTCCTGTACCTGTTCAGAGCTCATCACAGGTCCAGAATGTCACTTGCTTTCTGATAGATATGTTGCATCAGATTCAGTGTTCTTATTGGTTTTTGCTTTGCCACCATTTAAACACGATTGTCTCGAGCCTATGGAAAGCTGTCACAAACAGCGTCTCTAAAGTGACACTGTCAAATTGATAGCTAGTCAATTGTGAAAAGAATGGGTTAAAAGTAGTTCCAGATATATTACACCTGCCCCTGAGTCTCCCTGCTAATTTCTGTGGTTTTACAATCCCATTTTCCTAGTATTTAAATTATTTTCCCTCCCCTCTTGCTTTGTAACAGACCCACACAAACAGGGGGAACTAACTAGCTGCCTGTACAGGGGAACAGTGAAACTGATGATTAAATACAAAGTGCTGTCAAATACACTGAATTAAACACTGAAAAGAGAAAAAATGGTGTTCTCTGATCTTTCGTTCCTTGTCAGCTTAGAGATTACTTATAGCCATAGTGGGTAATATATTTCCAGGTAGCAGTGTACAGGTTTTGCTGTTACTGTTTTTGTTTTGTTTTTTTACATTAATGGTGTCCTTTAATGAGGATTTTTTTATTATGGGTTTGATTGTCCTGCCCCCATAACTTACTGTGTTACAATAAGCAAAAGGAGACCTTAAGGCAGGCAAGTAGGTTTGGGGTTTATGCTCAGAGTGATTTGGTTCTGCAAAAATCTGGAAAATAAACCTTAACATTTAATTTAAAAACATCAATCCCCTCCTTTCTGGCCTATCACAGAAACCTCCCAATTAGCCATTTCAGCTGGTTATCAAAGCCAGTGAATGCACTCCTGGATCTAGGTCAGCATAAGGACCTGAAGCCCTCTCTGTTCCAAATGCACTCTTTTTAACAGTGGTCCCATCTGGAAGGTCTTGTTTTCTAGATTGTCTTGGTTTACATGTTTGCTTTGTTACCTGTTGTTGAATGTGCAAGGAAATTGGCAGGTCACATTCCTCCCACTGTTTCTGTGCCCCAGCCTGGAGTTAAGGGATGTAAAACCAAGGTTCCAAACCACTACTGGTACTAATGATCCCAGGACACTTTTTGCAAGAAGAGAGCGTGTTAAGCCGCAGCGTCTCGACCAGATTCATTTTGATGCTGGTATCCTGGCTACGGCGCTTTTGCTGTTTTGGTTGGAGACATTCTTCTTCTTTCCTCCCCACTCCTCTTAAAATTGGTGTGCAGTTTTGCTAACAAATAACAGCTGCCATCTTCCACCCCAGAGGTGGCTGGATTACAGTGGGAGGTGAAGTGATCCTCACAGAAGAGTCCTCAGGGAGACGTCTTCAGGATGAAGGATAGGATAGAGTTGGAAGGTAGCATTACAAAGGTACAACAATTTCCCTCAGGCTGAAGTACAAGGGGGTTATCTAGTCCTGTGAATAATTTCACTTTAAGCAGAGGTTCGCTGTAACCAGACTTGCAGCTGGCCTATGCAGGGAAATAATCTGGGATGACTATTCTCCTGAACTATCAACAGGATTTCACTGTAAACTAGTTCTACCGTGTTAAACACAGAAGGACACCCTGTGTAACAAGTTTCACGCCCGGCCCTGCAAGGGCAGTCTAACACTTTTTTCTCTCAATATGCAGATGGTTTTTAATTTATAGCGATTCTTTTTTTGCTTGCCATTGGACAAGTTCTGTTGTCAGTTACGCTCCTCCTACTCCATGGAAGCCAATGGGTTTGCAGAGGGGTAAAACAAAAAGCAGGATCTCCCCCCCTCCCCCTCCCCATTTGTGCTTCTCTATAGTAGTGTTCTTTGGATGGCAACTCTAGTTTAATTCTTACTGTTTGGTTTGCTTCCTGATTGGGGCTTTTCACTTACATTAATAAAACAGACTCGATAGTTCTACCCTTCTTAAAATGTTACCAGTGTCTTTTATTTTCCT